CGTGATTATCATTTTTGCCATAATCGAGCAGCCCTAACTGGAACAATACAATACATATATACACCTTTGTATATAAGATTTACTGTAATGCTGATGAGTAATTAAAAGTGTTTTCCAGAGATGTTGGTGTGTATTTGCAAAAAAAAAGAAAGCGGGGAAAAAAAGATATATACCCCATTCATTTTGAGAACTGCTTTTGTGTTTGTCATGTTAGGGTTATATAACATGACTGGACAGTAAATAACTCACTCAATGAATGCTGTAAGCCCATCACTGCTGACCATAATATTTTTATGGAAATAGATTTTATTAATGGGTATTAGGATACCAGTGCCTAAGCTATTAAATGTCACAAAGCGGCAGTCTAACTAATGCAGCACAAGTCAGCTGGCGAATCTTGTACTGAAATATTGCCCATACTCAGACATAATCTTTTTGGTTCCCAGGCATTATTGTCATAATTATGCCAAAGTTTATTGTTGGGAACAGTTAGATGAGAGACACAGTATTAATATAAAGAGAAACCTTTTTAAGTCTGTGTCTGTAAACACCAATAACCTTTAGCATTTTGAAAGTAGCAGCCAACACCTACATGTCTGAGCAAGTAAACCTGCTAAGTGCTAAATGCGTCCAGTGTGATACTCCAGTGCCCGGGTTGGTTTCGGGTGACACTCGCTGTACTTTGCCTCTCCTCCCACCCTATTTCACCCCGTTTCATAGCAGATGGAACCTCGTCATTGTTTTTATTTTTTATTTTTTTAATTAGTGAAATACTTTGTGTACGTCTGTTAATAATGGTTGAAACCAGCATTGTAAGGCCTTTAAAATGTAGGTCTTATATATTGACTTGTGTTGGCGTTAATCATGTTAGACAGTCAGACTCGTGGTTAATCTTCATTGAATTAATATATTGAGTTGTAATCGAAGAGGGCTGTGCTGTAAAATGACAAAATATTTAAACTGCCTGTGTTGCTCTCCTAATATAAGAAGACAATCACAACATTTCACTGCAGGACTGAATCTAGTGCAACAAATTTAATCTTTGTTTAGACCAAACCGAATTTGTACCTCTCTCCTTAACTCCTGCTTTTTTTTTTTTTTTTTTTTTTTTTTTTTTTTAAATAAAGTTAATCACTTTGTTGTGTCATCCTCACACTAACATTTATTAACTCTCTACTTTTGTCTTCCTGTCAGAAACCGAAGAAACCGCCTCCACCATCTAAAAGCACGGGTAAGGAGCAGTTTAACCTCTTTGTCTTATTATCTGCTCTCAAGTCAGTGGGAAGTGTGAAAACGGGCTTCTTACTTTAAATGTCTTGCTATTGAGCAGCTCATTTCTTAAGTAGAATTAGTAGGTGTTTACATTTATTCTACACCGCCTCAAAAATATGAAGTGCATTAATATTACTGTTTGGAAAAAATATATAGATTATTGTTAGAATAATCTGTTAATTTTTTGGTTTCAATCCTTCTTTATAGCCAGCGTCTGTGCTGTTTCATTGCTGAAATATCATCAAGGAAGCAAAAGAAACAGCTGTGTACTCAGGATATTTCCATCATCATGTCCCATTGAGTGCACCTGTGTACATGCTGGGATCCTGTAACTGTAGCAACTCATAAAAAAAAAGAAGTATATATACACATGGTAGAAAGTAGATTAAAATCCAAAAAGGATTGGATCCTCTGCCATGTACTCTTTGTTTACGTTTAACTGATTGAGGAAACATTCATCAAAGCCCAAAGTGTGTGATCTACTTCTACTTCAAGTAGAAGGCTGTGTGGTGACTGAGTTTGGGTATAGAGACAGCAGTCCCTGGTATCAGCAGCAACATCTACAGTTTGCAGAATGCACATTTCCATAATTTTTTTACCACAGGGTTTGCATTCATATCCTGCTAGGACTGTGTGTGTGTGTGTGTGTGTGTGTGTGTGTGTGTGTGTGTGTGTGTGTGTGCGCGCGCGCGCATGAGTTCCTGTCAGTGTAGAGATTTTTTTTTTTCTTAATGTGTAGATGTCAAACATAACCAAACCACACTGGTGTGCACCCACCAATACATACACTGTGTAATAGTCATCTGGCAATTCTGTGCTAATTTCATACCCGCCTGGAAGTGTCTGGTAGAGGATAGTGTATTTGTGTCAGTGCTTTGTTGTGTTTACTTGAGAAAGTGTCTTCCTATCTGTTGTGTGAGTCTCAAGTCAGTCGCGTCAGACAGACGAGGTGACTCTTGTGCGGACCATGTTTCGTTTTTCAGCTCTTAAGCCGGAGATCCCGAGTGCTGACAAGAAGCCTCATCTGGTCAGGCCAGAGGACAGAGGTACGGTTGCACTCCGTCTTTGCTCGCATCCTTCTTTATGTTCCCATCCTTCTTTATGTTCCCATTTCTCCACATTGCTCACAGCTTTGCTCCACATATCAAAATACTTTTTTTTTTTGGACATTTCCCTCCAAATTTGCCACTGAACACAGATCTCCATCCGATATTACTTTCCTGTTATGGCCTTTTCACTCGGTGCATAAATCCATCCTACTTCTGCCACATGGCATTTTACTCAGCATACTGTTGGATAAGCAGCCTTCCTCTCTGCTTGGTTTAAATTGAAGAAAACACAAGTTAACAGAGGATTTATGAAGTAAGAAGCTAATGTCACTAGGTATGCCTGAGACAGCACCTCACTGTCACCAGCTCCTTCTAGCTCACTTCACTTTGCTGAAAATGTTGGGTAGACTGGAACACAGTCAATAAAAGCTTTAACCACAGGTTTAACTTTAGTGTTCAAAAGTTTAGAAGACATTGATTCATATTCTGATGGCTTTTATGGAAAATTCTAAAAGACAAAAGTCTGAGTTTGTGTCTACCTGAAGCGCCTCTTGTGGTTCCTTCGTCTGTTTTGTTGTTGCTGATTTTGTCTCGAGTCTTCACTTTCTTCAAAGCCTTTGTTCTCTGACTTAGTGGGGTCTTCTGTATTGTGTCTCCCTTCTACGTTTCGCTTACTTTTTTGTTCATTTGAATGTTTTTCCTTCATCGATGGAAATTAGGTTTCAAAATACACTGGTTCTTTTTGTTTTTGTTTTCCCTTCCAAAAAGTACTGCTTCTAGAAAAGGCTAAAACACTTGCACTATTTGAAGATAAACAGAAAGCAGTGATTTGCATTTAATATAAATAAAAACTGCCATACACAAAAAAACCCCAATATGGGTCCAGATTCATTAGGATGTGTATGTAGGTGGAAAACTGTCCCACAGGCTAAAAAAAACAACAACAAAACAACACTTTCTCGGTTTAATGTCTCTTTTAAATAATATTCAGGTAAGGTTTATAAGATTTTCAAACTTAAATACGTTTATAGTAAAAAATTAGCCAGCTTCACAACTTGTGGGGGAGATGGATGCATTTAATGAGTGGTGGCTGCTGTACACCTGAGGTCAGTTTATTTTTATGGTATAATCACAGCACATGTTGAAGCAAGCTCTAGTGCTGTCAACGCAGTTTCTCTTGCTGAGCCGAATGCAAGGGGTGTGTGTGTGTGTGTG